CTCTTGGACCCCCCCCAGCCCTCCCATCCTCCCCCCACTCTTCCCACTCCTGCTCCGGGGGGCCCTGGGGAGCGAGCAATTAACGGCAGCAGAAACACACCTCCCTTCCAGATGGCCTTTAACAAGCATTTCTGCCCTTTTTTAATTTTTTTTTTATTTTTTTATTTTTTTTCTTTTAATTTTCTTTTATGGGGGGTGGAGAAAAAGGAGCCCGGACCCAAACCCCCAATCCCAGCTCCTGGGAAATCATTTCCTTTCCGAAATTCAAAGGCGATCTCCGCAGATTAAAGCCCTGGACCAGCTGTGAAGCGATGGAGTCAAGTGGAAGAGGGAAGGAGGGAGGGAGAATCAGCCCCTCTTCTCCCTTTCCCCCTCCCCGTCCCCCCCCCCAAGCCTTGCCCAAGGTAGCACCAAGGAAAAAATTTGCCTTAAAAGGAACATTTTTTTAAAAATCAGGTATTTTTCTCGGGTAATAATCTGGTCAGCAGTTAGGCAGTGACCACTGCTGTGAGCCTGGTTTTGGAAGTGACAAAGGGGATTTGTCCCCAGGGAGGCTCTCTGGGGCTGAGGCTGAATCCCTGCGGAGCAGATCCCCCTGGATGATGCCAGCGGTTCCTCTGGATTCTCCTGAAGGTGTGATGCCAGGTTGAGGGACACCTGGCCCAAGCGCCGTTTGCCACAGCTCAGCGTCACCCACAGCATCTCCCACAGAATCACAGAATGCCATGGGGTTGGAAGGGACCTCTGGAGATCATCTAGTCCAACCCCCTGCCAGAGCAGGGCCACCCAGAGCAGGTCCCACAGGAACATGTCCAGGTGGGGTTTGAATGTCTCCAGAGAAGGAGACTCCACCACCTCTCTGGGCAGCCTCTTCCAGGGCTCTGCCATCCTCAAAGTGAAGAAGTTCCTCCTCATGTTGAGATGGAACTTCTGATGTTGAAGTTCCTGCCCATTTCCTCTTGTCCTGTCCCTGGGCACCACTGAGAAAAGCCTGGCCCCATCCTCCTGACACCCACCCTTGAAGTATTTATAGGCATTGATCAGATCCCCCCTCAGCCTTCTCTTCTCCAGATTAAAAAGCCCCAAGTCCCTCAGCCTTTCCTCATAAGAGGACCTCCAGGCCCCTCATCATCTTTGTAGCCTCTGCTGTCCCCTCTCCAGCAGTTCCCTGTCCTTCTGGAACTGGGGAGCCCAGAACTGGTCCCAGTGCTCCAGATGGGACCTCACCCAGGTGCCCCTGTGGCTGCTGCCAACACTGAGCTGGCAGCTCATGAGTGCTACCAACTGTTTGAAGCAATGATTTTCACTTTTCACACAGATCTGCTGGGCCCCACGAGCATTTTCTTGTGGACAGCCCATGGAAAATGAATTTTAACCCATGGTGAACTTTCACAGCCTGCTTAGAAATAAGCTGAGAGCCCCAGGAGCTCTGCAGACCTCCCCTCACCAAGTTCTGGCTGTCGGTCAGAGAAGGACGAGCTAAAAAGAGGGGCAGAGAGGAGGAGAAGCGTCCCTTCTTGCATGAGTCCTACCAACTGTTTGAAGCAATGATTTTCACTTTTCACACAGATCTGCTGGGCCCCACGAGCATTTTCTTGTGGACAGCCCATGGAAAATGAATTTTAACCCATGGTGAACTTTCACAGCCTGCTTAGAAATAAGCTGAGAGCCCCAGGAGCTCTGCAGACCTCCCCTCACCAAGTTCTGGCTGTCGGTCAGAGAAGGACGAGCTAAAAAGAGGGGCAGAGAGGAGGAGAAGCGTCCCTTCTTGTGTCTCCCAGAGCCACCTTCCCCTTGGACACCCGGCAGGTTTGAGCCTTGGGTGGGTTCAGAGCAGGCTTTTGATGCAGCTGGTCCTGGGAGCTTTGCTCAGTCCAAATTTCCATCTAAACACTCGCTAACAGTAAGAGACTTGAAGTCAGGACCGATTTTTTCCAGCTGGATTAGATGGGTCAGCTCCCACGTAGCCTCCTTGTCTGAGAAACTAAGAGAAAACAGCTCCTGATGAGCAGAAATGCTCGGCCAAAGCCGGCGTAGGTGAAAATTAGCACGGCATTACAGGCAGGGGCTGGGGCTTGGGCATACATGGCAGGGATGCTCGCTCACCAGGACGTGGCCCGTGGGATGGAGGACCACCAGCCTGTTCTCGGCAGCCTCTTGGAGCCCAGGCTGGTTGGGCAGCTGGTTTTGGAGGGATGGAGCAAAAGGCAACAGGAAAGGACCTCTCCCCCCTGCTTTGGCTCTTTGGCCAACGTCCTTTCCATGATGTGTCCCACCTGGAGGTGGGCAATCATGGAATCATAGAATTGTCAGAGTTGGAAGGGACAAGGGACCTTCTAGAGATCATCCAGCCCAACTCCCCTGCCAAAGCAGGGCTGCCCAGAGCACATCACTCAGGAGCATCCAGGTGGGGCTTGAAGATCTCCAGAGAAGGGGACTCCACACCCTCCCTGGGCAGCCTCTGCCAGGGCTCTGCCACCCTCACCCCAAACAAGTTCTTCCTCACATTGGAGTGGAACTTCCCATGGTCCAGCTTGTGCCCGTTGCCCCTCGTCCTGTCACTGGGAACCACTGGGAAGAGTCTTGCTCCATCCTCCTTCAACCCACCCTTTAGATCCTTGTCAGCATGAACAAGGTCTCCCCTCAGCCTTCTCTTCTCCAGGCCCAAGAGCCCCAGCTCCCTCAGCCTTTTCTCATCAGGGAGATGCTCCAACCCCTCCATCATCTCTGGTGCCCTACGCTGGACTCTCTCCAGCAGTTCCCTGTCCCTCTTGAACTGGGGAGCCCAGAACTGGAGGCAGGATTCCAGTTGTGGCCTCCCCAGTGCAGAGCAGAGGGGGAGAAGGACCTCCCTCCACCTCCTGGCCACACTCTTCCCTCCTCAGCCCAGGATCCCATTGGCCTCTTGGCCACAAGGGCCCGTTGCTGGCTCCTGGAGAGTTTACTGTCCACCAGGACTCCCAGATCTTTTTCCTCAGACACGTTTTCCAGCAGGTCCACCCCTAACCTCTAGTGGTGCTTGGGGTTCTTCCTCCCCAGACGCAGGACCCCACACTTGCCCTTGTTGAA